ACAGGAATGCTTGTCATACGTTGATCTTCCATCATCTGAGAAGACAGACCGTGGACGGATCCCGACACCACAGACCATTTCCCTCCGTCCTCATATTACGGATCCTAGGATGATACCATTATTGACACTTCCCTTCCTTTTCTTTCCCTCCTTGGTGTCTGGAAAATTCGCATGCCCCACCAATGACATACTACCCTGCAAGTGCACGAAAGATACCATTGGCAATGTGACTGTCGATTGTTCGAATGCCCAAAATGTCGAAGAGATTGCTCAAGCCCTGAGGATAACCACATGGCCTTGCACTGTGCCCTGGTAAGTCATCGATCCCTTTCCTACGAGCTTTTCGAATTAAGTGCTACTCAGCGCCTACCGGTGAGACACCGTGGCGAGAGCTCCCTCTCTGGCTCCACCCATTATACGGGATTGTTCTGTCTCTGAAGAAAGCTTTGGGGTTGACCAAATTCTCAGAATCAATTCACAGGACGACTAAAAAACGGAGACTGGAGCAATTTTAGAGCAAATACTATGACGATTATGTAAGACTGGGCGAGGCTGAATGCAACGCTTAGGAAAGACCTATTAAAAATATTAATTTTCGGCCTGAGTGCCATGGAAAATTCATCTAATCGGCACAAAAACGTTGGGTCAACATTGACAAAATTGTGAAATGTTAAGGCGTGGTTCAAGTTTAGAGTTAATCGAAAAATATTAAGGAGTAAATAATGTAATGCAGACTGTTCGTAATTAACCGAATTTCCAGCACAAAGAAATTATTCATGGCATTGCGAAGTGGTATTTTACCTATCAGGCGAAATCATTCTTCACATTAGCCTTTGTCTTAGTCTCAATATTGCTTCAAAATGGGTTATCCACATAATCTCGACAGGCAAAAGGTTCTCTTACGGCGCCTGACCGCCAATTTAGGTAAGCATCAAGGTTCTGCCAAAAATACGGTTCCCTGTAATTTTCTTTCAATACCTGATATTTTTCCACGTGCAACTTGAGGAATGTTTTGGAATCCCTAGGTATTTCGACCATTTTAAGCTGGTCAGGCTAACCTAATCAGATTTTCCGTAAAAACCTATTGGCCAATTGTCTTAGAAGGAACATTAAGGAATCTTTTTGAAGGTATTTTTTTGAGCTATCTTGTGAATTTTATTTAACGCTTATATTCATGTGTACTCATTTCATATTTTAAAAATCGATGGCGTTTCACCATTGACCCTTCATAAAAAGTATATAATTTTTGCATGGTAATGAAGCTCATAAAATTTCAGTAGGATATTTTGTCCCAGTCTCGAGATATGGGCAAATAAACATTATGCTTAACATTTTTCGTTTTCATGTGCAATTATTTCAGGTAGCAAAATATAGGATTGATTTGTTGCCCTTGAAATATCGATTTGACGGCCTACATCATATTATCTCAATGATGCATCAATGTAGTTTATATCAATACATATTCAGGATTAATTTTTTAACCAGCAACGAGGCCTATACAAACCACTTTCAATGCAATACCTTTATCCAGGACTTGGTTGAATCTTGCGTTTACTGTTGTGGAGAAAAAAACTATATTTTGCATGGATTAAAATGTATGCTTTCCAAGCGTCATTGGACGCATCTTTTGACATGTAGGAGTACTTCTTCTTGAAGACAAATGTCGGACTATAATCTGGTATCAATCATGTGATTAGTTAAAAAGCCTAGCCAAATATAACATGAATATACAAGAAATTAAAATGTTTTAGCATTCTAGATCCTCTGCTGCTGAAACCAGATCTGTGGCAAAAATGAAACGAGAGAAAATACTGCATTCCTATCCATCCATTTCAGAAATCTCTCTTCCTGGAACATGATATTAAAAATGAAAATCAGACAAAAGGCAAAAAATATGGCGTGAAAACAAACCCATACTAACTTGTAATGAAATGCAGGTCACATGTTCATCAAAAAGGCGCCTAGAGCCGAGCAAAGTAAGTCATTTCCAACCAGGTCAAACTTTCTAATGTCGTCCTAGATAAATAATTCATCATAACATAAAACAATTTAGACCTGCTGATTTAAACTTTCTCTGTTCCATAAGTCAGTCGAAATGAAAATGCAGTGGCAGAAAAAACAATTAGGTGTTGAGCTATCTGAAGTAATTGCACATAATAATGAAAAAAGTTAAGCGCATTTTAACCCGTATCTCGAGACTGGAGCAAAACGTCCCCTTGAAATGCTATGAGCTTCATCACCATGTTGTTCTTGCGTTATCTTTTAAATTTGGTGAAATTTAAAAATAGTAAATAATTTTTTTTTCAGGGTCGAAGGCCAAACGTTATTGATTTTTTAAATATGAAATGAATATGCAAAAAAATGAGGTTCAAATGATACTATCGAGATACCGCTCAACGAGACCTTTAAAAGGAGTCCGAAAAGACCTGTCTATGACAATTACATAAGGAGTTATTAAAGAAAATCTGATGTCTGACCAGCTTAAAAAGGACGACATTTTTTCACTTCGGCAGGGACAAATCCTTGGTCAGGAAAGAATATATTATGGATTTATTTTTTTTTGGGACAAAAGCTACCTCTGCACCAAATTTCAGCCAAATCGCTGGTGGTCTACAAAATTCTCTGACCGAGCTAACGTGGAATGACTCAGAATCATCCGCATCTCAAGGGAAATGTAACGTTGATGACCCTTTGTGTGGGTCTCTTCAAGGGAATTCCAATAATATTATAGGCTTTTATTGTTGGTCTTTGATATTTGGATTTACCTGAGTCTGCTCGCTACTCCCTCAGAAACAGTTAAGAAAAAAGTTAGATATTCTCTCTTCTTGCAGGCAACTTCCCGAATTGGACTTTAAGAGGACTTCGTTGTTTCCTTTCCCAATCGAGGAAGATGAATGACTATGAATGGACCGTACCGTACCGTATGAATCGACCGATGTACGACCGATGGCCAGTGAGGAGGATCTACCTCAGTGGCCAGTTTTTTAAATCTATCCCTGCACTCAAGAGCGACGAACTCATAATACTCCACCTCAGTAATAATAATATCACGAGTGTGGATTTCGACAAATGGGCGACTCCGAAACTAAGGGAACTCCATCTCAACAACAATTTCTTGACCTACACTCCCCTCTGTCCCCTCTTTCAAGAGCGACGGTCTAGAAATATTCAACCTTCATAGCAATAATATCACGAGTGTGCAGATCGACGGATGGATAACTCCCAAATTAAGGGAACTATAACTCAACAACAATTTCTTGACCGCCGTCCCCGCTTTCAAAGGAGAAAGCGAATTGCGCGTGGGAGTCATAAAGCTGTCGTGGTAAAGAAGACATCAGGCATTGGCTGGACCTGCGGCAGTTAGGAATTACGTTAAAATGTAATTATTTTCTATTCATATTTTTTTTCCAGCCATTCACCTTCCCATCATCCCGTGTGAACAAGGGCCTTCGACTATTAATAAATATTTGCTGTACATGTATGATGCCCATATATTTCCATTCGGATATTCATCATTGTTGCCAAAAACTGGCGTCCACAATCAATGTCAATGGATCTCCACAAACTGGATCCTGGCCGTTCTCAAATAGGAACCGCGTGAAAATCGACCAGTATCCATTTGAACAATGATTGTTGGAAAATTATATATTAACTATTTTATTTAACGGAATGGGCATCAAACTAAGGCCTCCCATTGAAATCAATCAAGCAGTTTCTTTGTTCGTGCAACGAACGTAACACAAATTTCAAGAGGAAAATTTCCCAAACCAGTCCACAAAATGGTGCTTTACCCAATTTTGTAATTAATTACTTGGGGCTAAAGCTAACATCTGCGCCAAATATCAACAAACCTTGGTGGTCCAACAAAATCTCTGGGAGTTCTGATGTGGAAAGACTCAGATTCATGTACATCATGAGGGGAAAAGAAAAGTTGATGAGATTCTGTGTGGCTATATTCAGGGCAATTCCAATAATATTATTGGCTATCTATTATTCTTGAGCTTTGATATCTGGATTTATTTCACTTCGCTCTTTATTCCCTTAGAAAAACGGAAAATAACATGTCAGATATTCCCTCTTATTGCAGGCAACTTCCCGAATCGGTGGGACAGAGGATCGACCTCAGCGGCCAGTTTTTAAAATCGATCCCAGCACTCAAGAGCAACGACCTCGAAATACTCGTCCTCAGTAATAATAATATCACGAGTGTGTGTTTCGACGGATGGGCAACTAAGAAACTGACGGAACTCCATCTAAACGGCAATTTCTTGACCTCTATCCCAATCATCAAGAGCAACAGCTTGCAAAAGCTCTACTTCCATAACAATCAAATCACAAGCGTGGAATTCGATGGTTCAATGACTCCCAACTTGCTTCTGCTTGATATATACAGCAACTTGTTGACCTCTGTTCCCGCTTTCAAAAGCGACAGCTTAAAAATAATCAATCTTCATGACAATAACATCAAGAGATTGGAGTTCGATAGATGGGTCACTCCGAAGTTAGAGCATCTCTGGCTCAAAAAAAATTGTATTACAATTATCCCGGCCATCACGAGCGACAGTTTAGAAATACTCGATCTCCAAAGCAACAAAATCACAAGTGTGGATTTCGACAAATGGGCGACTCCGAAATTAAGGGAACTCCATCTCAACGACAATTTCTTGACCTACGTCCCCTTTTTCAAGAGCGACGGTCTAGAAATATTCAACCTTCATAGCAATAATATCACGAGTGTGCAGATCGATGGATGGATAACTCCCAAATTGAGGGAACTATATCTCAACAACAATTTCTTGACCTCCGTCCCCGCTTTCATTAGCGACAGTCTAGAAATATTAAGCCTTCATAGCAATAATATCACGAGTGTGGAGATCGATGGTTCAATGACTCCAAAATTGTTTGTGCTTGATCTACATAATAACTTGTTATCCTTTGTTGCCGCTTTCAAGAGCGACAGCTTAGAAGTACTCGATCTCCATAGCAATAATATCACGAGTATGGATTTCGACGGATGGGCAACTCCAAAATTAAGGGAACTCTATCTCAACAACAACTTTTTGACCTCCGTCCCTGCTTTCAAGAGCGACGGTCTAGAAATATTCAACCTTCATAGCAATAGTATCACGAGTGTGGAGATCGACGAATGGATAACTCCCAAATTGAGGGAACTCTATCTCAACAACAATTTCCTCACCTCCGTCCCCGCTTTCAAGAGCGACGGTCTAGAAATATTCAACCTTCGTAGCAATATGACAAGAGAGGAGATCGACGGATGGCCCACTCGGCCACATCTGCCCACTCCCAAACTGAGGAAGCTCTATCAAAACAACAACTTGTTGACCTCTGTGCCTGCCATGAAAAGGAATAGTGAGTCCCTTTTTAACTGGTGCAAATATATGGTTGTAGCTGCTGCTTCCGAATGATCTGCAACCCCCCAGGAGGAAAATTATTCTTTGTTTCCATTTCATTTTCGTCGATTTATTTCTCATCGAATTTTTAAATTTGGGAATTAGTGAAAAAAAAACCTACCTGCGCATGGATTTAAGGAAGAGTTTTTGAAGGGCGATATACAGGGTTGTCTAAAAAAAATACGGTATATGTAGAAAATACAAGTGGAAGACAGACAAATTCTTTTTTTTTCACAAAACATAACTATATCAATTACATATGACTGGACAATTGCAGTCAAATATGAAAGCAATCCACTAATTAGAAAGATTCCTGTAATTAATCACTGAATAATAGTGAAAGATATGTTCAATCCAGCGTCCTTCTTGTTTCACATAATCTTTTCCACATGATCAGTGATCCCTCCCAGACATATTTTCTGTGGAAGGTTTTAGATAGCGGTGATGATGTTTTCCTTTAAACCAGTAATTGTTATTGGGATAGACGTTATTTGAAGATGGGGTCCCATGGATCGGCCACAGCGCATTAAAAAAATCCATCGGTTAAGCTTCTATAACACACATACCCTTAGAGACAGGCTAGGGACATGCAAGAATATTCACATTTCAGACGTATTCAAGCTTTAAATTCCTAATTTTAGCATTTTCCTGCTCTGTGGCCCATCACTAAGTAAATGCCCTGATCTCTGAGCATGAGTAAAATCCCATCATTTGGTATTTTACCCTATGCCTAAACACAAGATCTCACCTAAATAATTACATCGAGAAATAATTTCATCTTAAGTGTAAAATATATCATATTAGAATTGCATGGACACACTTCAGTATTTAAATATAATAATTAGTAGCGAAACTAGTAGAGGAATATATGGATATTTATTTAATGTTATTAAAATTTAACTCACATTTACTTCAAAATTTGTTGAATTCAATTAAAATGTAGTTTAGGATTTCTTTAAAATCATTTATTTCACAAGTACAATAAATTACGCATTACAACTGAGGCAACTTCCTCTGAGTGCTTCTGAAGCTCTCAGATATCTTCATCATGTCTTTAGGGCATAAGCTGAAAACAACAGCTGAGCGACATGCTCGAAAGAAACCTCGGAGATTTATGTTACGTAATCACATGACGTCATTCACTTGCATTCTAGGCATCAGGTATGGCAGAACTAGTACGGTGATTCATCTGAACGACAACAAAATCGTTGCATTGTCTCAGGAGAGCTTCCGCCCAATTTTGGACAGAATGTCCAACATCTCTACAGAAGATGGAATCCTTGATATAAGTGGTTAGTATTACTGTTTCTCACCATCGCTGAATGCGTTGGATTCAACACTTATTTCGTTTCTCTGATTAATTGCACTTTCATCGTACCCCTATTCCAGGAAATCCCATTCGATGTGATTGTGGCGTTGCATGGCTGGTGCTAGTTCGAAAATATTTAACTCACATTTCTGGGAAGTGTGTTAATGGAACTGAATTCAGTTACTTGGATTTGGATTATATGAAAGGCTGTACACGTCAATGTCCCTACGAGTGCGTTGAGAGACGACTATCATCGATCTGCCTGCCGGGAACGATTTCGGATTCAAATGTGAACAACTGTCTGTCGGAAGAGTTATGCTGCGAAACATCCGGACCCGAAGGTGATGTTCCTAATTTCATTCTCTCAGGCGGTCGCTGTATTGGTTCCCAACATCTGGTTTCAAGCTAAGGATATTTTGTCAAAATTTCCAAATGTGGCAATGAGATTGTGTTCAATGAGATTGAGTCCTATACATAACTGCTTCTGACATATATAGATAGTTGCAATACGTGCTCTCTTTTCCATGTTGTCAACCTTCTAAAATCAAGATTATGATGCAATTCAATTAAAATAAATGTTATCATGGGACCCATTTGAGTACTTGCCAGGTGTAGAGATTTGTATAGAGATTCAATTCCCTCTTTCATTGGATCAAAAAATATTCTTGAAAATGCACCTTTTGCAAAAAAGTGCCTCCAGTGGTTTCATATGAAATTAATACTTTTACTGAAACCTGTTCACGAAGAACCACATGCCTAACAAGTTTCAGCCGTATCCTTTAGCCTATTTGGCTGATAAAAAAATATTTGGAAAAGCCAGCCCACTCCAAAGCTATGCCCTGAAGGGATGCACCACAAAGCAGAATTTTTCCTGAACTGAACATCACCCCACTTGTGCTTACGAGAATTTTCTTTTTTTTCTGCCCATTTCGCTAGGAAAAAAAAGAAAATTGTTTGAAAACATCACCCACTAAAAATATGCACCATGGCATGCATCTTAAACTTGACACTTTTCATGAACTCAGAGTCCCAGTCCATGCCAAATTTCAGCTTTCCATGTCTCTGCATTTGGTTGAAGCAAATATGTATAATTGAAAACATCTCCCCCAAAAATGGGTGCCCCCAGGGCATGTAACTCGAAGGTCGGATTTTTCCTAAACTCTGCATCCCAAAAGTACCAAGTTTCAGATATCTACCTGCTATAAAACATGGTCATGTTTTATAGCAAACTCAGTCACTCAGTCACGACAATCTATATCTCTATAGATTTTAGTGATCCGACAGAAATCAAGTTAATCTTTTAAGAATCTAAGAATCTTTTAAGAGTCGAATCAATATTGTGTAAAGGCCAAAAAGCTTCATCAATGCTTTACATGGAACACTGAAATGAGAAGTGGATTCTTTCGCACAAATTTCATACACGTGTATATTATTGAAATAACACGTGAAGGAAGTAACACCTGGAATTGTAAGATGCATGGAGGGATGATTAAATGGACGAGTGAATGACAGAATGAATGAGAGATTCGATGAAAGGCAGTTCCAATGAATGAGAGTTTCGATGAATGACAGTTCCAATGAATCAATGTGTGAAATGGCAGAATATCGGGAAAAAAATAAATACGAATTACTTTATGCGTGACCTCGGGAGCTGACTTACAAAATTGAATTAGTGTTCATGTGAATGGTTCATTCCATTGCAAAAGGGACAAATGAATCAAAATGTGAAAACTAATGGACGATCCAGCATTGGATGTCGCAAAGAAAATGAATGCATCCTGAGGTACAAAGAGTTCAGTGTTTTGATCATCTTGGCTACGATGTCATGTAGCATCACCATTTTGAGTTTAAGACAGATAATACTAATTTATGACCATATCTCTACTCTTCGGAGTATACACCGTTTCTTCATGGTTTCTTAAAAATTTCACTTAGGCAAGAACTAAAAATCTGGGGGGAAGTTGCATATGATGCGTTCTGTAAAAAGGAGCTGTGTCATCCTTAGTTACCAATGCAAACGAACCTGCTGTGAAGTCTTGAAGATGAATGGATTTTCAAGTGCAACATGAGTCACGAAAATTGCCATTTTGGTGGTCACAACTCTGTCTTTGCTTACATGGGAAAATGCTGCTCGTTCCTCTTAGCTATGCAGTTGTCCAATCAATCAAAGTAGGACTCGGACCATAAACAGCATCGCTGCAATATCCATTGGCTGCGCAACTTTCGTAATGTGAGTCAAGAGTGGCACAGTCACGAAATGATCGTTTTCTTTCTCTACATTGATTTGTTGTGTACGTGAATAAAATAATGCAAGAAGGTGCTAATGAAAGGCAGAAACGAAGGAAAGAAAAGCCGAAGTAGAAGGGAAATATGATGAAATAATGATGAACTACAGAGTTGGCCAAAAAGAAAAAGGTACGTACACTGAGGGCAAAACTGTCCGCATGTTCGGCAATATCCTCTTTGGGACCAATTCTCTCGTTATAGGATAATTGAATTTGTGCGACATACCCTTTGTAGCCAAACTCTTCATTCATAAGTGTCTAAAGTTTCATTAGAATCCATTCATCGGTTATGGAGAAATCTCAAATGAAAGCAAATGACTGCATTCGGACAGTTTTGTCTCCAATGTCAAAACTTCAACTTTTTTCCCCTTCTCAACAAATTCAATATTCTGTCCACATCCCTTTGACTTTAATCACAGCCTCAAGTCGCCTAGGCATGCTTTCCGCCAAGCCTCGACATCTTGGTCGATTTTGTTCCACTCTGTTTGGACCCGCTCCCACACCTCCAGCATACCTGAGTGGTTCCTCTTACTGGTTGAGGCCCCGCCTGAGGTGTGCCCAGAGATGGTCAATGGGGCTTCGGTCTGGAGACTGAGCTGGCCACTCCAGGACCTCGAACGGCTGTTGATATAGCCATTGTTGGACGCTCTTCGCCTTATGCTTTGGGTCGTTGTCATGCTGGAAAATAACTCTGTTCACGTCGAGGTCATACCAGTCGATCGTTTGCAACAATTCGTCCTGCAGGATGGATCTGTAGAGTTGCTGATCCATGGTGCCGCTGATCTTGAACATGTGGCCGGTTCCCTTTATCGTCATGCAGCCCCCGATCATGATCGAGCCGCCTCCGTGCTTGACAGTCTGCTGCACGTGCCGAGCTTGCCGGCGTTCCCCCTCCCACTTCCAGTACCAGGAGCGTCCATCTGACCCAAAACGGTTGATCTTGGTCTCATCCGATCAAATGACTCGCTTCCAGTCATCTATCGTCCAACCCATGTGGCTTCAGGAGAGCTCCGAGCGGGCCTTGATATTTGCTGGTGAGAGTTTTGGCTTTTCTTTTTCTCTGCTGCACCTAAACCAGCTTCATGGATGGCGCGGCGAATGGTCTTCACGCTGACCTCGACTCCCACGTCGTCCCTGAGCTTGCTTGTGGCCTGTGTGGCTGTTTCTAGCTTCCCAGAGGCGATAGCACTGATGCAGAACCGCTTGTCTTGAGGTATTAGCAAGGACCAGGAATAGAATAGGACTGGACACTCGGAAGCCGCGCGCTTGCACTCCGCGTATCAACATGGATGTCGATGTGCAGGCAGCGCTCCAAGCGGCTGCTGAGGAAAAACACAACATTGCCCAATTGTAGTACATGTATTCCATCTGTCTCCGACCGTTATTCTCTCAGTTTTTCCCTGTGCACCTTATTGGGAAGATGAACACCAGGAAACCAAAGAGTAATGTTCTTGTTGCCGATGAAAGTACTCATTCTTCAATATTATCAGACAGGGGGAAGAGGAAGGGGCCGCGAAACAGCATCACTCGTCGGTGGAGGTTGTGCCTTAATATTATATAACACCATGTGAAAGGAAAAAAAAAAAAACAAATTTGGCGAAAAATGCAATAGCGTCTAAATATTTATAAGCCACTTGATTGTGTTTATTGGAAAATACGACCCGTCGATGTGGCCGCCCATATCTGCCGATACGTCCCATACATCATTCGGGAACGAAGCATATTACACAATTTGCATACATTTCTTTGAAGATGCTTCACTCTCGCTGGAAGTAGGAGAGAAGGGAAACGATATCATGACCCAGTGCAAAAGCATGAAGTTTTGAATAGTTCAAAGATCAATCTATTTTGTTATAATCAAACGTGTTTGTCTTCGTTGGAAAATGTTGTTACAAAAAAATTTTGGCATAAGGAACACGTTTAACAAGTAGTTAATTTCCAATTCATTAGAATCACTATGCACAAATTTGTATAGACCAATGCAGGCAAATAAATGTTAAAGACACCTGTTTGTGGGCAGGTTAAGGAAAATTTCATTACGGTCGTAGGGGTAACTGAGAAACCGCTTAATTGGTTTCAATGGGAGGTCACTTATCTTAGTTTGATGCCCGTACTCTAAAATAAAATATTAAAAAAACACTTTTCCAACAAATGCTGTTAAAATGGATGTGTTGATTTTCACGCCGTTCCTATTTGTGGACGGCCTGGTTCCAGTTTGTGGACACCAGTTTTTGTCAACAATTACGAAAGTGCGTAGGCCAAATAGAAAAGTTTGGGCATGATATATGTGCAGCAAGCTTATTCATCTTTAATATAATGTCCAGAAATATCATTGGAAAAATTAAGGAATTCAAGGGAGCTACTGTAAGTCGAAAACTAAGCGAGAATGACCAACTTCACTCTTGCTGATGGGTAGGCAAAATGTATATAGTGGCTGACAGGCAATTGCAAAATATGGAGCAATTTGGGAAATAAATTTTCGGAGTGAATTTGGTGAAATATGAAAAAACGCAAAACTGTCAACAAATAGGCGCCCGTCCACAAACTGGTGCCGCTACCCTATTTACTTTTATCTTGATGCAGGTCTCCTAGGGGAATCTGGCATTGCAGCCGTATCGGCGGCAGCGATTTCGTTTGTTGCTTTAGTAGCGAGCTCCATTTCCTACTACCGCTTCAGAAAGGAAAAAGTGAGTCGCGCATTCAAGAATCGTCTCAACTTCAACTTCAATTGGACAGCACTTCTCAACGTGAACTTTCCAGGCCCGAAACATCGCGTTGTCCAACGAGGAGACAGAACGTTTCCTAAAAGGACAGCCCGGGAGTTTGAATTCAGCAATGGGGCTCAGCGAACAAGCACATCTTCTCCCCCTTGACAAGCAATGGGACTTCCCACCAGAGAAGCTGAAACTCGGTAAGGACCAAGGTAGGAGGAGGAGCTGCGCAGGCAGATTATCATGGAATGTGTCATCCCGGCAGGAAAAATGCTCGGCAGCGGCCAATTCGGTTACGTACTAAAGGCCGTGGCTATTGGAATCCGTCCTCCGGAGCCGGAAACAACCGTTGCCGTGAAGAAAAGGAAGTCTCATTCCAGCCTGGAGAATTACCAGGCGTTGATGATGGAGGTAAAGATCATGAGTCACCTCGGAATGCATTTGAATGTCGTGAATTTCCTAGGAGCCTGTACCAAAGACCTGGCACATGGTGAGAATTTCCATTATATTGGGTTGGGTTGGTCGGTAGCATGCAAGTTCAGTAGACCCTTTCCACATTAAGAGCCAGCAGTATGAAACCAATGCTTGATACTCTTCTGCTCCAATACCTCTCTCTATGTAATCATTTGTACAATTCCTAGGATATCTTTCTGTATGTACCTAATATCAAGATATAGTATCTTTTCAGGTTTTATGCATATGATCAATGTACTGGTGTCATTCCTGAATACATATTTTCTGAATGATTCATAACCGAACTGGTCTTGTTGGGATCAGATAATACCATCTCAGCCTGTTTTAAGCCAGCAACGATCTTAGCCTACATTAAATCATTCCCAGGCAGTCTCGGCTGTATCTGGCTCACAGAACGGATCAATCTTTCACAGTAGCACAAGAAATTGCATGAACTTTTATTACATGCCTCAGGGATCTGCTCTGAAACTAACTTATTTACTGTGCTTCGAATATATTCTCGATAAAAATGGATTGCTAGAGATATGACCGACATCTCTTTGCCGTTCTTACGACGAGTAATCGGAAAAATGTTTTCGACCAATTCCGCATTTTGACGTAATGTTGCTTTAAAACAATAGGATCCTAATTTCAGGGAATCTGATGATGATTGTGGAATATTGCCCCTTTGGGAGTCTGGATAAGTATCTGAGGGCCAATAAAGATTACTTCAACGATCAAATAGACCCTCACATAAATAAAATGGAAGACAACATCGGGAAAAAGCAGCATCTGGAATCATTGGCTGGCTCTGGTGGGACTAACAGTGGATCACAGGTGGATTTAGCTGTCTCTGACACCAGGATTCCTTCTTCAAACAGTAAGACTAAATTCTCTCCCTAAGCATTATTCATTGGCATTACGTCGTTTAGTTTATTAGGCTGTATATTCTCCCAGTGTGACTTTTTATTATGGTTCACCATGAATCGTAGAACCAAGGCTGGGTACCGGTAAAGATTCTGGATCAGTGGAATGGACAAAACAAATACAGCAGAATTTATTTGCCTGTTATTTAGATTCCTATCGTTTCTATTGTTGCTCTTGAACCATTAAACGCCATGAATACGAAATAGGAGCGAATGTTCCCAGGGAGGGTGAATCATTGGAGAAATCCTCTGCCGGCAGAGAACGCCCTTCGGAAGTCCTCAGAGGAATGTGTACTCTCGAGACGATTCACGACTGGCAATCTCGTCTCTTGGGCGTACCAGATAGCTCAAGGCATGGAATACTTGGGCTGTCGAAAGGTAGGCCTTTTCACCTAGACTCTTAGATGTTGCACTCTCTATTAACGAAAATAGAAACTCGTCAGGTCGCTCTCATAGTCAGACATCTTTCACAGGCTTGAAGCGATCACTTGATTGAACGAAGAGGAATCACGGTCGTAACGCCACTCACCCAGTTTTAGATTCTTCCAGTTTTTTTGTGACAACCAAATTAAAATTTGAAAATGATTTTAGGATCAAAGAGGGAGAGATAAGGAAATTCTCATTCTGTATCCACCTCTACATCTCTATCCGCTGAACCCTACCCCCTCAAGAGCCAAAGAATTCGATTTTTTAAAGTAATTTCCCTTCGTGACCATCTCATTTCGAATGAATCCGTCTGAAGTTCTAAGCAACATCCATTAAAAACTACCTAACCCAAGTAGCAATTTTGATTCAAAATATATCCTTTGGGCGTTCCCTCATGGACACTTGGACATCCAATGTATCTCCTCCTCGGATATCCACCTGATGACTAAATGTCTCGTCCAAGAATAATCATTGGACGTGTCCATTGGATGGCCTATTGGATTTCCGTTTCCTTGGATTTATTGGAGATTCCCAGTGAGAGAGCTATTGGATGACTGTTGAGGAATGCAGCATTAGTGATTCCATGGTAGCAACGGAACTAAATTTGATGGTTATTAGGTATTCTGTGTAGGGAGAGGAGTACTTTCTGCTCTTGAACGATCTCACCCACTCACATTCTTGGGTGGAACTAGAAGGGAAGCGTCAATATGGAGAGTATGGTATTGCTGAGAAATAACTCCCAACTTTCCCTCCTTATCTTTCAAATCAATAGACTGTTTCACATAGCCAAAGGGAAGATCCACATCAGAAAGGAATAAAGTTCCTAGGCAAGGGGAACCACTCTCTCTCCATGTAATGTGCAAGAATTGTCAGGAGTCTCATTGAGCTATGCTTCCTCTCAACAAATGAACTAGGCCTAATTGGAATGACTTCATTCCTTTGCCTTGTACATGAGAAATTTATCGAGTACATAATGAGAGTTTCTGCAGAACAATTCATTAGCATTAAGGAAATCAGAGACAAACAGTAGTGGGTTCATTGCCAACTCGCTTCTATTGTTGGAACGTCATGTTTATTGAATGAACAGCTAGATGTCAGGCCAGGTAGAGGGCCTCTGCGGGGCGGAGACTTCATACAAGGACATCCTAGGGTAGACCGTGAGGGGAATGTCCTTGGAAGTTCCTTCGCTGAACGTCCAATAGACGTCCAAAGATGGACTGACACATCATTTCGTTCCTAATGTGGGACTCTACATGAAATCATCCACTGGTCAAAGTGTAATGTCACACTATCTATATAATGATTGAAGTTACCCCATTTCGACCTTAGATGAGAGATTTGCATTTAAAAAAGTAAACTAAAGAAATCCATTATTGGATGCTTGTACCGTAATTCTAAAGAAAAATAATTCAATAAAATTCAATAAAGTGTTCGATGCAGTGGCAATGGCATCCTACATACCATCCATAGGATGCCATCGTCATGGATCGATATACAGGGTGCGTCAGCTATTTGAGAACAAAATTTG